ACTTGTTCTTTAAGCATTACAGGAGGAGAAGCAGTTGACTCTGAGAGACACTGAGAGTTCTGGGCCCTCACCACCTGGGATCAAAGCCCCTCTCTGCCAGTTCCCATCTGTGCAATACAGGACAAGTTCCTTCACATCTCTGTGCTTGTATTTCTTCTTCTGTAAAGTGTTGGTAGTAACAGTAATAGTGCCTGCCTTATAGCCTGGTTTTAAGATCAAATAAGTTAGTTTCCACAATATCCTCTTAATAAAGCCTAACACATACTAGGTGACCCATTACACTTAGTAGTTACTAATCTTATTAACAGAAAGAGTATCAATTCTGAGGGTTAGACGGGCCTAGGTTTTTTCGTATTTCCAAATTATTTGTGACTTTGGACAGATTATGTCACATCCCAGAGCCTCATTTTCCCTATTTTTTAAATTGAGATCTGAAGGCAAACATCAGAGAGGGCTTCTCTGAAGGTCAGACAACATTTTTGGAGAAGCCCCGAGCCTAGCGCTGGTACTTGGTGGCTGCATCCCAGAAGGGAGCTTCAGAGCTGCCAAGCTTCTCTCTGCCTGGCACATAGTAGGTATGCAATAAATGAGTTCTCTACCGAGCAGACAAATCAATAAAACCTCACATTTGTGTTCAAGTCAAGACTAGTGCAGTTGAGTATTGTGGCACATGGCTGGAATCTCAGCACTTTAAGGAGGCTGAGGCAGGAGGACTGAAGCTTAAGCCCAGTTTGGGCAACTTAGAAACTTATTGAGACCCTGTCTCAAAACGAAAGGAAGCTGCAGCTCAATGAGAAAGCCCTAAGCTTAATCTCCCATCCTGGGGTTGGGGGCAGAGAGAAAAGATTAGTACAATGCTTGCCATCTACTTTGAATAAATGTTTGAGGACAGAATAGATTTTTTTTCCCTCTTCTTTTTTTTTTTTTTTTTTTTTTTTTTTTTTTGTCTTTTTCCTTTTTATCGGGGATCGAACTCACGACTGCCTGCTTTCAAGGCAGGAGTTTATGCCGCTGAGCTAAATCCCCAGCCCCTTCCCTCTTCTGCTGAGGATTGAAAGCAGGGGTTTTATACTGAGCCACATTCCCAGCCCTTTTATCTTTTATTTTGAGACAGGGCCAGGTTGGGAATAAACTTGCCATCCTCCTGCCTCGGCCTCCCAGAGTGTTGGGATTCCTGGTGTGTGCCGCTGCCTGGTAGAACCGAATTTTAGAAATGGCTGGCTGTTTTAGTTTCCAGTTTCACTTCAATTTCTGACTTAAACTGAGGAAGAGTCTGTGATTATGTGCCACCTTGCCTGGGCTAAGGGGTGCTCAGATAGCCAGGGAACATCGCTTCTGGGAGTGTCTGCGAGGGCTTCTGAGTTGGCAGACTAAGGAAAGACCTGCCCTTGCCCAGGGAGGTAGGGGCACCGTCAACCTGCCTTTGCCCTGAGTGGAACCCAGGATAGGGAAGAGCAAGTGCCGCTCAGCGCTTGAACTGGGACATTGATCACCTCCTGTCCCGAAACACTGGCACTTCCGGTCCTTGGGTCTCTGAACTCAGAATGAGGCCCACACAGCTGCCTCCTGGTCCTTGTGGCCTAGAAGAGCGCCACTGGCTCTCTTGGGTCTCTGGCTTGCGGTCAGCAGATTGTGGAACTGCTCAGCTTCCATAATCACGCGAGTCAGTCTCATAATAAATCTCTTTCTAATGTAGCTCTATCTATTCGATTGGTTCTGTTTTTCTGGAGGATCTTGACTAATACTGAGACTTCTTAACTTATCCCAAATCTCTCTAAGCCTTCTTACTCTTATTATACAATAGGAGCTATTAATAACATCCACCCCTTAAGATTATGCTGAGAAATAAATGAAGCAATATGTATACTGCAGAGCCCAGAAAATGTTAGTTCACTATTGCTCCCTTTCCTGCTTGCTCATCTGTGCACGGGTACTCATGCATTCACTCAACCAACACAGTGCCCAAGTGCACCAACTTCCCATCAGTTTGAAAAGGAGCTGCCGCCGTGGGCTCTGGGTTCTATAGCTGGAGTTTGAAAGGCCCAGCGCTGCTGCCCCCTCCTTTTATCCTGGCTCACATCACAGCGACTGCCCAGCTTCTTCGGAGACTCTGCCTTGCCTCCTCTCTTCCTGGGTCCTGCCTTCAAGGGGCCTGAGCAGTGGTTCCCCTACACTTGGTGTGGGACAATGGAAGGAGATGCCTCCAGCAAATGCTGGATCCCTCCCTGGTTGTCAAAGACAAGCCTGAAGCGGGGCACAGTGGGGAGCAGCTTGGGCACTGGAGATGCGGAAGAGGCCAGGCCAGGCCTCTGGGTTCCTACATGCTTATCTCTGGTATCCACTGCTGGCTCCAGGGAACTGACTCCTGCCAACAAAACTCACAAGAGACTGAAACCTTTGGATTCAAATTTTACATTCAAAATGAATGCATTTTTGGGATTGGAAGGAATTATTCATCTCCAGCGACCAAAATCTTTTCACCTGTTACCCGCAGTAGTCTTTGGTCTTTTATTGCAGTTGAAAGAAATTTATACACCAGGAGTATTTAAACACCAGGAGTGGGGCTGCTGTCAGAGGCCTGGCCAGAGGTAGAAGGATGTCTGAGTTCCAGAGGCCCATCCGGACTGGACTGCAGGAGGAAGCGAGATTTATGAGGTGAGAGCCTGCCTCGGCCGCTGCTTCTATCAGGAAAGGTCTCCCTGCAGTATTTCCTGTCTCGTCAACGCTGCATTTCATTTTAAATTGCAGCTGAAAGCAGATATTTTCCCTCTTGCCTATTACACCTCTTAATTTGTCTCTCCCTCTGCTGTTATTTGTCTCTATAAAGTGTTTTGCATGAAAGACCCACACAGCACAACATTGCTTCGCCCTGGGTTAGGTCTAACAGGAAAAGGAGACACAGGCAGAGTCCAAGGGGGAGCGTGAGGGTCTGGGGGCCACGCACACCTCCCTGGCAGGGTGTGCACATGCATGCTGTCAGAGATTCCGGACCAGGAGCCCTGGCCTGGTGTTTTTGAGTGTGCAAGTGTGCACGTGGCAACATTTGTACTAATATGCAAATGTGTCTGTGTATACTTTGGTAAAATTGCCTGGGTGTCTGTGCTAATTGTTGGTGTGCAAATACACTCCCATGGGCCGAGACGTGATTTTCGTCTACACATAGCAGCACATGAGTGCATATCCACACACTCAGCACCCCGGTACATGTAGGTCAGTACCTATGCGATGCGTGTAGTGTGTGGTGTGCACATCTTTTTTGCTTCTTAGGGCTGTGGTTAGCATCAATCCCTGTCCCACCTAAGGCCTTGACCCGTGGTGGGTTGTAGGGAAAGGAACTCACAGCAGCGGTCTGAGGAGCTAGGGACAGGGCAGCAACCCAAGGAACCGTGGCCACAGCCCTCTAGCTTGGTTTCAGACACATCCAACCTCCACTGCCCAGCCTGCCACAGTAGCACCACGGCGGCTGGCGCTGAAGCTCTGGGGACCCCTGGGCAGGCTTCCAAGGCGCGGGCTGCCAGCCTCCACAATCTTGGGCTGCTACTGAGGGGTAAGAGAGGTCACCCAACGACCAGCAGGGCCCTGCAGACTGGCCCTGTCTCTTGCCCTTTCGGGGGGCGGGGTTGGGATGGGGGGACCAAAACCTGGAGCAGTCCTGCAGGGCTGGGGTCTCGGTCCTTCCCAGGCCAGCGAACTCTGGGCAGTGACCAATGGGTGACTGTGGCCCAACGGGGATCCCTCCGAGGCAGCCAATGACCTCCCTCCGCTCTCCACCCCGCCCTCGCCAACCCCACGCAGCTGGACCATTGGTGCGGGTGGGATGGGGGAGTGTGCGCGGCGCTGGCCCTCAGAGGGGGGCGTGGCCTGGGGTGCTGTACCCTGCATCCGCCGCGCTCCGCGCCCGCGCCCCCTACCCGGAGCCGGGAGGCCCTTGGCCTGGCCGCGGCGCCGCGGGTGGTGGCGGAGGAGCAACCGCGGGGCGCGCGGTGGGCGTGGCTTGAGGGCGTGGCCCGGCGGGAGGTGGGGCCGCGGGCGCTGTCGCAGTGAAAGCCCGAGCGAGCGGCGGCGGCAGCGGCGGCTGCGTCCGGGCGGGTGTGCGCGCTTGCGGGGCGCAGGCTCGGCTCTGCTCGGCGGCGGTTCTGCCTGCGGCGGCCCGGCCGGTCTGGAGCAGCCGCGGCGAAGACGCCAGCTGCAGCAGGGGAGGCGCAGCCGGGGCGCGCGCTCGGCAGAGCCGGCGGGGCCAGGAACAGGTGATCCCAGCGGGAGCCCCGAGCCCTGCCGAGTTGGCGGGGCGGAAGCCCGCGCTCTGGGGCGCAGCTGCAGCCGCCCAGCGCGGCTCATCTCGGACGGCGCCGGGCTCCGGACCCCGGCTGGAGCATCCCTCCGCTCCGGGGGCCTCGCCAAGCTGCCGCCACTCGCAGGCTCGGAAGCGCCTGCCTCCTCTCTCTGCCTCTCCCCGAACCCCGGCAGAGCAAAGTTGTGGACGTGTCCGGGTCGCCCGGCCAGGGCGCTGTCGCGACCCCGCGGGTGGAGCGCGCTGGGAGCAGGGCTCTCTTGCTGCCCTGCCGCCTCCTTGCCTCCAGAGCTAGTCCCCTGCAAACTGCTTCCGAGGCTGAAACTTTGGGCTCCGGCGAGCGCAGGAGGGAGGCAGGAGGACCGAGGGCGGCCCGGCGCCAGGACGGCATGTGACGGCTGTTGCGGGGAGGCAGGCGAGGCTGCGACGCGCGGCCGGGCATTGCGGGCCCGGGCCCCGAGCCGCGCCGCCCCGCTCGCCCGGGCCCCGCCCGCCCCCTCGCGGGAGCGCACGCTGCAAACTCCCTGAACTTCAGGGACGGTCTCCGAAGCGCCGAAACTCGGGGTTGGCGGCCTGGCCCCGCGACCCCCACTCCGGACTGCGCCCCTGCACGCTGATCCTCTTCCGTCGCCCCCTGAGGACACGTGCGTGGACTCCGAGGACCTCGGGGTTCCTGAGCAGAGCTTACGTCCCCCAGACCCGCTCCAGGCCACGATGCACATGAGGAAACTGCCGGGCTTCGTCCCGCCCTCCCCGTGGGGTCTGCGGCTGCCGCAGAAGTTCCTTTTCCTTCTCTTCCTCTCGGGCCTCGTCACCCTGTGCTTCGGGGCCCTCTTCCTGCTGCCCCACTCTTCCCGACTCAAGCGCCTCTTCCTGGCGTCCCGGATCCAGCAGCCCGGCCTGGAGGTGATAGCCGAAGTCCCCGGCCACTCCCCGGTCCGCCAGCGGGAGCCACCCCCTAACCCGGCCCCCGCGGCGCCGGCTCCGGGCGAGGATGACCCCAACAGCCGGGCGGGTCCCCGCCACAGGAAGGGGTGGCTGAGGCGCACCCGCCCCACCGGACCCCGGGAGGAAGCCACAGCAGCCCGGGGCAGCGGCGTTGCGGCCCTCAGGCCGGGTGAGGAGAGTATCCCATTCAGCTTTGACTTCAACGCGTTCCGGAGTCGCCTCCGCCACCCAGTGCTGGGGACCAGGACTGATGAAAGTAAGGAACCTCAGAGCCAGGTTAGAGCCCAACGGGAGAAAATCAAGGAGGTAAGCATCCTGCCTTCCATTCCCACTCCAAGAAAAGATCTGGTACTCCTCTGCACTTCCCTGAGCCCAACCCTTCCCTGGCCCCACGAGTCAGGCGCACTGCAGCCCGCCCTCTCTCCCTAAACTTCCCAACTTCCCGCCCTGTACGCTTTCTCAGGCGTTCAGTTGATCATCCTGACCTCTTGGGATAGTGGCTGAACCCCTGGACTAGTTAACTTTCTACAACTCGTGTTCTGGTCTTTCCTGCTCAGTCTCCAGCCCAGATGGGTTCCATTTCTCCCCTTAGTAGAGCTGCTAATGAAAGAGGAGCTCAGATTCATAATGGGGACCCTCTGTATTTGTAGACACTGGAGCCACTGGAAATACTTTGTCACTGTGTGTCTTTAGTCTTGGCTTCCCCGACACTCCTGTAGGACCTGCTACCCAGAAGCCTATTTGAGGACTATTTGGTGTCCTGCAAATATTTAGTAATCTGGTCAGCACCCTAAAGACCAGAGATGTGGTTCATTTCTGTTGTTTCTATTGAACTTTGGAAGAGTTGCGCATAATTGTGTGTGATGCAGAAGGAAATGATCAATAAGGCGATGGTAAACATTACAGAAGCTCTGAGGTTATTGGCTTAATGAAGCAGGCCTTGGACTGGTTCCCTGTAGGGATTGAACCAGGGAGGAATTTAGAAGGGTCACTTTAAGTCTGAGCCTTGGTTTAAGAAATCAAAACAAACACAGCCTTACAATGGCTTAGAGACTGTTGTCAGGTGGCCTCTGGTACCTGTTCTACTCCACCACTGTTAGGGCAGTCTACAGTATGTGAGGTATGTGTTCCGCGATGCAGAGGGGCTGCAGTGACACCCCCAGGCCACCAGGGGGCTGCGGACAAGCGGTGGGCCAGGGTCTCTTCCCTAGAAACCAGAGGATGCTCTCCCTTCCCCCATGGGCCCAGAAGGAGAGCTGCTTCAGTCTGGACCTCTTGGTTTGCTGCAAGGAAGCCAGTAGGTCTGCTCTGATTTCTAGGGGCAGCAGACAGCAAGGGTCGGAATTTACCCTGCCAAGATATACAAAGAGCTGGTGGAAACTTGGCTGTCCCTTTCCCCTTATCTGGACTCTCCTGCCTCCCAGTGCCCACCTCTCTCTCATTTATCTCTGCTCTGACTCAGCCATGCTGTGCTGCGCCCTGAGAGTCAACCAGTGATCCCAGGACATTTTGTGAGGTCAAGATAGGAATTCACAAGAAGCTGAGGCCTTCGTGTGTGTGTGTGTGTGTGTGTGTGTGTGTGTGTGTGTGTGTGTGCATGTACACACACACACTTGTGCTTATGCACTTGCTTCTGTTTTTAAATTCTTGTTGAACGCTCAAAGGTTAACTGAAGGCTAGAACTTGCAGTAGCTAAGTAAGGGACATCGCTTTTCCCCCTTTTATTAGAGAACTGTGTTGTTCACAGTTCACCTGGACCTCCCGCAGCTGCCTTTCTCAAAGCTTCCTCTGAGTACATTAGCTGTGTCTGCCCTTCTAGACCTCCTGAGAGGACAGTAACTCTGAGTGAAATTGCATATAAACTGCAGGTGTGCAGTTTTTCATGGAATGTACAGAACTGCCACCAGATTTTCCAAAGGCTCCCCAAAGGATTAGGAATGAACTACCGTCTTCCTCAGAAGAGGTGCATGTGACCCATTTCTGAAAACCTAGGGTTGGAGCCTGGGTAGGAGGGTAGGCTGGCTGGTGGGGAACTTGATTCTTCCCTCTGTAAAGCCAGCTTTTCTGCCAGCAGAAGCTGGGAGTGATAACAGGTGTTTGAGGACTCTCTTTGCAGGTGGGTATAAAATGATCTGCTGGGAGGGCTCCACGTTCATCGCCAGTAGTCTGGATCTGTGTGTGTGTAGCATCTCCTCTGACCCTGTAGTAGCAAGAGGCCTGCATTTACCTGCAGCTGGTGTTCAGCAGTCCCCTCTTACTGCCTTGAAGATTGTAAGCACCTCCGAGTAGAGAGGCTGGTTCATGTACACTATTACGTTTTGAAGCCTGATGTGTCTTCTGGTTTCTTGAACCTGAAAAACGTGGGGCAGAGCTGGTGGCTTAGATGTTAGCACAGGGCTGCCATCCCTGATGTCCCATCTGGTAAGGAAGGCATAGCACCCCTGCTGGGGGCATGTTTATTTCTGTCTTGTTTAAATTTCTCTCTGTGTTATGCCTAGCTTGGGAAGATCATTTTCGAAAGGTGCCTGTTTTCACAAAAGGGACTATGGCATTCATTTTTGGTTTCTTTCCAGACATGGATTGATTAGACCTGAGGTGCAGGGAAGGAGCTAGAATCAGATAAAAAGGACCCTGTGCTTATAAGATGAGGTTTTTAAAGTGAAAATAAATACCAAGGCAGAGTCACAGAGAATAATAAATGAGAGTGAACAGCAGCTGGACACCCAGACTCTGTATCAACAAAGTATATTTATGAGTATTCTAGTTTGAGAGATGGACATGGGCAGGAGGTCTGTGCTGATAAGATGGGTTGAAGCTGCAGGTTCTGGGTGTACATGCATCAGGAAACTCTTTCACCAGAACCACCTCTTTTTCCTCAAAGCCCCGTCTCCCCCATTTTGGAAGCTTAAAGTGAAGTATCACAGGAGGAGGCCCAGAGAATGTGGATTGGAGTCACAGTTCAGCTCTCAACTCTCTGACTTTGGACAAGGTCCTTCTTGGACCTTCCTATAAAATGCGGTGAGGGAGAAGCAAGCAGCTAATTGTGAAGACTTTGGCTTCCAGCACAGCCTCCTAAGGGAACTGCCTGTGTGTCTGGGACTGCTTAGCGGTGTACTTTCTCTGTTCCATGAAGTCAAGGACAGTAGTGTAGTGGGGTGCTGATGCGGTGATGTTGCTGATGTAGTACCTATGAGTAGATACTCCACTATTTATTAACTATTCCTGGCACCCATAATGAACTTTGGAGATGGAATTGAACAGATCCTCAGCTGGGATCATGAAGAGTAAAGGTGATGGCTAGAACGTAAAGGGAGAACACGTGTTAGCAGCTTTACTTCCAGATCCGAAGATCATAGAGGGAACGGGGTGCTTTACCCCCAGGTAGATTCCTTACTGATTTAAGTTCAGATGCAACACAGGTTGTGAACGTCTAGGTTGTCAGGTTATAGCTCAACAAAACAATTTTACACTGTCCTGGGTGCAGCTGAAGCTGGTTGGTTGCTGATACAGGAAACCTCAGTTGTCTTTCCCAGCGAAGGGGCTTTTTGTTAAAGGGAGGAGTCTGGGGCTTAGAGTACAGGGCACTGGCGGTGGGGCTTCCTCTGACAGTATAGTGCTTTTGGATGACCTGTGGAAAGGGCGGCTGCTCTGGTTAGAGGCAACCACATCCTGGAGTGCTGGGCCGAGGAAGAAGCACACGGGTTCCGAACCCAGGGTTCTCATGCACCGCATATGCAGTAGTCCTCCAGAAACCAACCAGAGTTTAAGGCCCTCCTCTGACCTCAAGCGGGGGTCTATGTATCACTGGGCCCCCATCTTCGTGGTAAAACCACAAGACCAGCATTTGGGGGTATTCCCTCTCTTCCCCACCATCCCTATTTACTGTTTTGTTTATGGATGTGTCCTGAGACCTAGAAATCCATTAAGTTGCGACGTGACATTAAATCGGAGCCCACCTATTTGAATGAATGGCCAAGTCATGATGTGTGAACTGAGTTAAAGTTGCTGGTAGCAGAGACAGAGTCTTCACCCTCAGGACACGTGGAGGCTCTGAGTACCAGCCACTGGGCTCAGCAGTCCAGTGACCCAAGAGATGGCACTAACATTCTGAGTGCTAGGCTGCTTGGTGTGTGTATGTGGGGTACATTTGCGAGTAAAATCCCTCATGCCCGAGCAGCAGGCCCTGGGTGGTGCCTGGAGTTGCACCACAGTTCATGTGACTTGGCAGGGAGTGCCCAGCACCGGTCCTTTGGCCTGCTGAGCCAGGCCTCCAGAATGTGGCTGGTTTGACACGTGGGGGTGTCTGAGGAAGTCATGTTGGCAAGTGACCCTTGCTCCCCATTAATGGGCCGCTTTGTTAGTCATGTGCGGTTTCTTTGTATATCTGATTTATCCTCACTGGCACCAGGGAACAGGTAGGAAAATTAAAAGGTGTTGTGTTCTTTGTAGCGTGTGCATCAGAGCCTGTGAAAGAGTTAAGATAATTAATATTAGGAATGGCTCTGATTTAATAGCTTCCCCTCAGAGAGCTCTGAGTTGCAGATCCATTGAAGATCCCTTTTTCCCCTCCCTTGTACTTGTACTTTAGTTCCTTTAATTCCCTCCCACCTTGCATTTAACATGAATGGAAACTGCCTCTACTAACCGGGGAGGCCCCTCGGGAGACCCTTCCCTCCCCAGCCCAGTCACACACCGCTCCTTTCTCTTTAGATCTGAGCGCTGCACTTAGAGCAAAGCTTAGAACATGTCCCTACCAGCTGTACGGCTCGGCACATGCAGGTTGGTTGGCTTTCTACTTTCATTTTGTGTTGCACCATCATTTGGGGGAATTAGGCATTCCAGGAGCAATTGGTTCCCGGGCCTCACATCCTTAACTGTGTCTTTAGTGTTAGGGCAAGAAATAAATACACTGATGACTTTGAAAAGTCAGCTGCTTATTTCACGGTACAGTTAGCAAGGAGGGGAGCGGGTAAGAGTATAGATTCCCCTGTGGTTTTCAGAGTGACTGATTTACATCTGAGTTCAGGAAATGCCTTTTCTCTAGCTTTTCAGAATGACTGATACATTACTTCACCAAAAATAAATATTGTGATAAATATTAGACATACTTCCTTCAAAGGGACTTACATGTTTTCTCTTACTAAAGAATATAAATCAGGCTTGTAGATTCTCAAGCCCCATGCCAGGACAGTGTAGGTGGGCCCTGAGTCTTGTGGGTACTGGTTTGGACTTGGGGATGGTACCTGTCTGCATTCTAAGTTGAGTGTATGATAGGGGAGGTGTTGGGAGCCTTAGGCAACTCTCTC